GCCGCTTGGGAAGCGCGGCGGCGCTCCCGCCCGAGGGTTCGGATCCCACATACAGACCGGTTCCCACTCACTGGCTGAGCGAGGCGCGGGGGCAACACCGAGGGTTGCGATCCCATTGCCGGTCCCCGGTCCGGTACGGGGGCAACACTGAGGGTTGCGATCCGTTGCCGGACACAGAAAAAGAAAAAAAAAAAAAAAAAAAGAAATGTTTTAGTATCTTATATCATTCCTCATCCATTTCTTCTTTAGAAATGTTTATTTTAGTGTCTTACATCATCCCTCATCCATCATCTGATGAAAGCTGGTGGCCACAGTCTCTTCAGCAGATGAGGTGCTGGGCCTGGGTGGCTGAGGGCTCCTTACATGACCCACCTTTAGCAGAGGTAATAGGTGACCTTACCTCCAAATGAGGGTGGCAACACTGAGTTTTTTTTGTGAACTGTTGATTCTCTCGGCACCCATACCAATGAAATATCCCATACTGCATATGTCCTTTTCCTTTGAGTTGAACTAGTCCTCAAATACTGTCATTCTTCTTCCTTAGCAGAGGGCACTAGGTTTTCACTGCCCTCAAGCATTTTTAAGGGACAGGATTGACTAGTAAGAAATATCACCTTGTTTACAGGCTTCCTTTTGCGGGGTGGGGTGGCAGGGTAGAGTACTCTAGGAAAATCGGTAATTAAGTTTATGAGAAACTTGTTTCCTATGTGTAATTCATTTTAGGAATATTTAGATACTTCAGTGTCCTCATCTGTAAGATGGAAATAAACACAGTGTTGTTGAAAGGATGAAAGGGTGAAATGAGACACGGCTCCAACAGAGTTGAGAAGACTTGGGTTGTGGAGAGAGAGAAGAGCTCCTTTCCTGAGGAGGAGCAAGGGAGGCAAGTTACTAACAGAGCAGGAAAATTGGGGAGGTGTTCCTCTGTCCAGCCTTCTGTTGGCCACAGCCTGCTGCCCCCCCACACACTCCATTTTTAGCTGGATCTAGAGTCAAGTGAGCTTCTAATGCAGTACTCCAGACACTGCCAGGACAAGCTGCCCAGTAATCCCAAGTCACTTGGGTTGCATTCCCCTTGACCCCACACCCACCACACACTACTACCCGGGGAGCATGGATGTTGGGGCAGAGGAGATGCATGACTGGAGAAAGGGCATTTAGTGCAGGATAAAACATTCTAAGTATTTCTTTTTTCGGGGGAGTGGAAGGGTGGGGGTGGCTGGCTGGTATGAGGATCCAAACCCTTGACCTCAGTGTTATCAGTACCACACTCTAACCAGCTCAGCTAGCTGGCCAACCCATTCTAAGTATTTTCAAAAATTGAAATGGGAAATGTCTGTAAAACTGTAATCCATGATTTCTGTCTGTGGGTTCACTGACTTATGACATAGTTAACGGAAGTACTAGAAGGCAGCACTGACGGGGCTATGTTTTCCTTCCCTAGCCTAACACACTGGAAAAGGTCATTCCACCAGGAACTCTGACAGTAGTGACAGTGAGATGGAGAGAAGCGCCTCATGTTATACCCTGTTTCAGGGTGTTCCAAGTCTCTCAACATCTACCAGGATTTTATTTGTCAAACAACCAGTTCAATAATTTTTTCTTAGTAAATTGACTTGACAATTCGGGTAAAATACATTTGGTATCAGTGCATGTTACACAGATGGGGAGAAATAGGTGGAGGTTTAGGACGTACGTGGATGAATCTGGAGAGGGAATTGAGCCGTCTGGTCCAACTCTTACTTGGGTGCACCTCCAAGCACGCCCCTCACCAAGCACCCTACACTTTTCTGGATCATTGCTTATGAACAGTTTTTGTGGGATGACAAGAACTGAAAAGGGAGTATGTCGGAATTACGAAGACATTGATATTCTAGATCACCTTAAACAAAAAACAGTGACAGGATCAGAAAACAAATATGCTAATCCAGAGTCCAGTAACTTGCTTCAAGAATGAACTAGACAGGTGAGGGAAAGAATTTATAATCTATACCACCAGGTGTTAAAGTTATAAGAAGAAAGACATAATGGGTGTGTTTAATATTTGCTGCCTTATGCTAGAAACAGAAATAAAAAAAACAACTACCATCATTTGATGAGATAGATACCAGTCTCGCGGAGCCCCACTGATATCATTTTTTTCTCATTTTATGGATGAGACTCAGAAGAATCAACCCTGTTCACATGCATTGAGCTAGTGAGTGGCAGAGCTAAGTCCCAAACCCAGGTCTGACTTTTAGCCTCAGGCACTTTCCACTTTTCCATGCTATTTCTCAAGACTGGGCAAAATGCAAAAACGAGCGCACTGAAGAATTTTAATCCATGCCTTGAAGTTCATATTAACCGTAACCAATAGCTTTTTCCTCTCAATTCCCATACTTTGTTTTGGAACATAATTAGTCAACTACTGCAGATGCTTTGATGGAGAGTCTCTTAGAAAACAACTAAAGAGGTTGGAGGGAGAAGAAATTAAGGGAGAAAGCACATGAAATTTCAGAGATTGTATGCCTGCTATGCATTTGTGTCATTCTCATTTCTTTAAGAGCATGGGATCTTCTTTCTAGTGGCTGACCTTGAACCTATTTATAAATAGGTGAAACAAAATGATTGAGGAAGGAAGTGCCATTTATTTTAAATGATTTATGGCAGCCAAATGGCTTGCACTAACTGTAGAGAAATAGGCCAGGGTGTGGTAGGCTGAGATAAAATGAACAGAACTCAATTATTAAAAATTCTGAAAAACAATATACAAGTAAGAAAAAGGCATATATCACCACAAAAGAGCAGCCATCTAAGCAGCCTTCAGAGGATTCTGTCTAATGTTCAAAGCCACTTGGGAGGAGTCCTGGTAACTCTGTGTGAAGTGGGATTTATTCAGCAAACTGCTTACCAGAATGTCTATGTAATAAATGGGTCCCCTCCTTCTCTTTCAAATTGTGATGATTTGGCATTTTTTAAAATATGGAAACAAAAGATATATTTACCAGTCTACGTATACTTTGCACAGAAAGACAAGAAGAGTAAGATTAATTGTAAAGGACAAAAGAATAACATCCTAGATGTGCTACAGTTAAGAAGAGAAAAACACAAGGTAATGAAATCTAAATTAAAATTCACTTTGTTGTCTTTCCTCTTCAACAAGAGGAGCAATACATTATTCTTTCCCTAGTCTTCTAGTGTTCTGGTGTAATAGTGCTAATTGATCAGTAAGATGATAATTAAACTTAATTATCTGCCACTCTGCCTTTTAGTCACAACAGAGGTAGAATATACTACATCAATTACAAGAACAAATTAATCATCATTCAAAATTTCTTTTTCTTACATCCAACGTTTACACCAAATACTTGATATATTCTTGTATGTAACCCAGAATACAGAAAAGGAAATTTTACTTTTATCCCTGAAGTAGAAATCCTGATGAAACAAGATTTTGATGTTCATTTAATTCAGCAGTATATTTCTATAAGCTATGTTCTGAGTGCTTTTCTTTCACTTATTATTAAAAGATATTTTAGGTCTTGTCCTCATCCACCACAGGCATATATAATATGTGTGAATGAGCTTTAGTTTCAGCCACTTTGGATAGATAGTAAATGGTAAGTGGTTCTCATGCAATCGAAAGCAATCGTACTTTTATATCTTTGATCTTGAAAGGAAATGTTTGATTTTTTGCATCAATTATGGAGAATGGTTGTGAAAGTTATTTTATTCTTTGAACTGTGCAAGATGGATCAATATACCACTCTAGTTTATGCTAAAGAAGAAAAAATTATGCTGGCAAATTGCAATGATGTAAGGTTGACACCAAATGGTATGGTACAAAATAAAGGGGAGGAGGGTAAAAGCCTCTTAAACAGATTTCTCTGAAAATGGAGTAAATTTTAGGCTTAGGCCGATGTAAGCAGGTGCTTTAAGAGCTGTCTAAATGAAGCCTTATTTTTATGATGTGTTAGCCCCACCACTGCAGACCAGCTTTTCCTGTAGACTCTGGGGAATAACACTACGTGAGGGAATTCCACCTTGCTATCACTCCCACATGGCTCTTCTAAACCCCATGGATTCTTAGAATAAATTTGGAAAGAGAAGAATTTGCAGCAATAACTACCCAGTTCCCCTTCACACTGACTGATCTTAACCACCCATGAAACAACTGTGCTGAAACTCATGAAATTTGGTAGATGACATTTACTTGAACCAAATATGTAAGTACAGACCAAGAGGGGGCCATGAACTAGGTGATGTGTTAAGAGTTATGTTCATTATGCTGTTGTACGCAAACACGTATGCATGAATATGCACATGTATACCCCAAACATTTAGTAGTGCATCCTGGGCTCATCATAATAAATGAATACATGGGAAGATATGAATCACTAGTTTAGACCTAAAATTCTGCAACAACAGTTCACAGACATAGAGGGCACTGGTACTTTCTTCATGTAAATTTGCTGGTAAACTGGGAATAAAGTAATTCTTGAAAGCACCTGTGCCCCCAGTTGCATACGTTCTGATATAACAGCCTGACTTTCCACATCATTTGGAAACAAACTGAATTAAAAAATGAGATACTCTTGGGGCCGGCCCGGTGGCGCACTGCTACAGTGCACCACTTGGGAGCATGGTGGCGCTCCCGCCGAGGGTTCGGATCCCACATACAGACCAGTTCCCGCTCACTGGCTGAGCGAGGTGCGGGCACAACACCGAGGGTTGCGATCCCGTTGCCGGACTCGAAAAAAGACAAAAAAAAAAAAAATGAGATACTCTATACTCAAAAAGAATAATAAGCTGTGCTGGGTCAAATGACTGATGCTACTATTTCATAATGAGGGAAAACCTTAGTGAATACAGTAAGAGAAATTGAAATTATTTTTTTCTATTCAGCCAAACTTCTGGAAATCAAACTAATCAGCATACATCAGATGATAACCAGTCATTTTACCTTGAAAATAATGTGAGAAGTGAAGCTTTGAAAATGAAATGTTAAGTGACCAAACAAGTATGTGCAGAAATTAACTTTTTTATTATATATCATATAATGTAGTAGTAAAGTTTGTTTGAAGTGCATGAATAAAAAGTTAGTGAAATTACAGGAGGAATAATCTATATAGCAATAATAGGTGCATTCCCTGTGCATCTGAAAGAAAAAAAAAAAAAGAGTTTTCACTCATTTTGGCCTAAAACTTAGTGTCAGGTTCCCAGGATTCTGACATCAGAACCCGGATAACTCTGATTAGAACCATAGGGGCTTTACAATAAAAGCTAAAATATTGACCATATGATGGCAAAAAGTCTTATTTTGTGGTTAACTTATTCTCTTCTAGCTACTCTCTGATGAAGTTGGTGGCGCTGTAGAGGAGGACCGCCGCCTCCTGGACGAAGACCGGGACCGCTCAGCGTTGTAGGTGATCTGCTTGTCGTAGTTCTCCATCTGAGCCTCAATGAAATCCCGCTGCTGCTGCCTGATGGTCTGGCTTATGAGCCCAGGGAGGGCGTGGATGCTTCCAATCAAAGTCTCTAGTTTTGTTTCCAGGGTAACGATTCTTTTCTCGAAATCTTCACTCCTTTCATTTAAGTCAGATATCATGTCATACATAATATTTTGGGTCTGGAAAACAGGATTGAGAAGAATGTAGAAACAGAGAACTAAGAGACTTCATTACACTTCCCCTGAAGGCAAACTGTCAACTCTCAGAGGTTTAGTACAGGTGTCCCACTGGTGACATACAGTGTAAGAGGGGTGTCAGCTAACTGAACAGTTTACCTTGCAGAGCAAATTCAGTGTCTATTCAATGTCAGGGTTTAGAAATGTCAGATCTGAGGCATAATTTGGTTCGGTTGCAGAAAATATGATGCAGGTACTGCTGGTAGTATGCTCAATGATTTTAGGTGGTGTAAGGATAGAGAACAATATTTCAATTTAATACTTTACTGGTTGTTACAAAAGTTAGAGCATTGAATTCACTTTGCAACATGCAATATTAATTAGGGCAAGGCTAATTTTTAAAAAACAAGCAGATTTAAAGAACAATAAGTAATAGTACAGATGGTACTGGGATATAGCAGAACTTTTTGAGGGTACAATTATGAATGAAGCTTAGGATTAACTGATTTGATCAAGTAATTTAAAGCCCTAAATTCCCAAATACCTTTTGTTGTCCTGTTTTCCAAATATAGGCCTTTCTCCACTGAGTCCAATAGCATTTTTATAGATCACCACTGAGAGAATAAAAGTTGGGGGAGATGCTAAAGTTACCAGTCTACCTTGTTGGCTATGGATGAAGCAGAGCTAAGTGGCTGAAATAAGAAAATGTGTTTGGTGTCCCAGTGAACCTTAAAATTGATTATTTTGATCACAGGGTATCCACAACTCTGATTCCTGGGTATATTTTCTTAAGTAGCCAAGAGACAAGGAGAGAAGACTCTAGGGCTGATCAACTCAGAGCCAGAGGGAAAAACAGTGGCCAAGAGGGCAGGCTAGAGATGTTAACCTTGGCTCAGGGCAGCCTTTCCAAGTCTAAATCTTCTCTCCTTCTGCCTCATTTGCTTTTATAATACATGCTCTTATCCTGCTTAGCCACCTCTTAAAGATGATAAATGAACTGATTAAATAAGAGAGTTATTCAGCCTTGTTTCAGTTTGGCCATGGAAACAGAGTACATTAACTGTATTTTAACTACATAGTCTTGAGAATATATCAGAAACATCCACTCATTTAAAAAATACTGAACCCTCATGGCATGTACAGTCCTATGGTCATAAACATGTCACAAAATAAATAATTTGGAAAAACACAGCACCTTGCCTTAAAGAGGTTCTCTACATTGATATTTCAAAGTGGTCTGTTTTATTTCTTCATAAAAATATCCAGTTTCTTTTATCATTTAACCTAGAAGTGATGCAGGAGCCTGACCCATCTTTGTTCATGATGTGTCAAAGCCACGTCTATAAATGTTTTTTTTTTTTTTTTGTCTTTTTGTCTTTTTGTCTTTTTCCATGTCCGGCAACGGATTGCAACCCTCAGTGTTGCCCCCGCACTGGACCGGGGACCGGCAACGGGATCGCAACCCTCGGCGTCGCCCCCGCGCCCCGCTCAGCCAGTGAGTGGGAACCGGTCTGTATGTGGGATCCGAACCCTTGGGTGGGAGCGCCGCCGCGCTTCCCAAGCGGCGCACTATCCAGTGCGCCGCCGGGCCGGACAAAGCCACGTCTATAAATGTTAATCGAGGACGTCTTCATATTTCCTTGATGTGTGCTGCCCAGTTTATACTCATGGTATGCGCTCTCCTAGCATATGCCATTAAATACTTCACTTACCATCTTCAACATATTTATGTTATTGATATACATTAAAATGATTACAATTTAGATGCATTATTTAATGATGCTAGGCAAATATGTATAATTTTTATAGATTATACTTGAGGCTTTAGTAAAGGACATATAATTTGTCAAACATTAAACAGGATATAGAGATCCAATGGAGAATTGCCTCTTTCAAAGCATTTGTGATAAAAGGCTGGACACTTACATAAATGCTATTCTAATACCTCCTTTAGAATTTGCTCAGGAAAGTGCAACATTTTTATTGTTGACTAATATATTTTGAGAGTGGATTTTACTTGGAGAGGAACAACCAAAAGTCAATCAGATAAATGAGGTAGAAAAACTGGGGGATTATTAATGTACATTTAAAAAATTGGCATCATTTTAAAATAATGAAATGGAGAAAGAACCATAAAATATTGGTCCCTTCTTTTTGGAAGACAACCCTCATTTTAGGATGAAATTTCTGGTATTTATTTATTTTTTTATTACAACTTTACAGTCTTCTGAGACCGTTTAAAATATATATGTAAAAAAACCAATTTTATTGATGAGTCCTATTTAGCCTTGAACCGCACAGTCACACCCAAGATGTAGTTCTGCTCTTGCAGAAATGAGACATTTCTTATGGTACTTCCAAATCACTGCAATAAGGAAAGCGTTTTGAATGGGGGTTGAATAAGGAAAGAGCATATTAAGTAAAAGTCTTAGAAAAATTCTTTAAAGTTGGACCATCATTTTAGGGTGGTTTGTTGGTTTGATTTAATTAAATTTGGGGCTGGCTCTTCCTGAAGCATTAATTGTTAGTGACTGTGCAGTGGTTAATTTTAACAGACACAACCATCAGGGCTGAGAACCTCAGGCTTACCTTTGCCAGGTCCACCAAGGTGTTTGCTTGGTCATTCAGTTTCCTCTGCTCCATTTTTACACTTCTTAATCTGAAAGATAGAATCTGAAATCAGAAAGGTTTCCTTCTTTCCACAGCTCCTTATGTCTTCCAAAGAGCATGCACAAAATTGACAAGAGCAAATAACTGCATGAATAATGCCTCGAACATCTGGGGTAAAGTCTAAACTGGTTATGTATCTGGTACAATGAGAAGCATGCTTCCCCAACACCGCAAAAAAGAAACAAGAAAGAGCAAGAGATGAGATGTCCATAGGACAACTATTTACCAGGTGTTGCTGGTCGCGGTACAGGCGCAACACTGAGGGTTGCGATTCCGTTACCGGTCACAAAAAAAGACAAAAAGGAAAAAAAAAAAAAACAGGCGCAACACTGAGGGTTGTGATTCCGTTACCGGTCACAAAAAAAGACAAAAAGGAAAAAAAAAAACAAAACTTAAGATTTTCCAAAAAAGATAAAAGTGATTTATTGTTCCTTAAGCCAACAATTCAAAAAAAACTTAAGATTTTCCAAAAAAGATAAAAGTGATTTATTGTTCCTTAAGCCAACAATTCAAAGCCTTGCTCAGAAAGAGGAGGTCCCCTGAGCTACTTAATAAAAATGAGAAAAAAAAAATCCATGGTAACCTTATTTTGCTTTGATGTCATTTTAATGATAAGTCATTTTACACAGTATAGTTTCATGCTGGAGAGAGTACTTTTTATTATTCTTCAATTTAAATTAAAGGTAAAATTATATAGAAGGAATAAAAACTCACAGGGCAAGATTTTACTGCCAGGGAGATTGTTCTAACACGTGTTCATAATGCTCTGAGATTTTGTCCTGAAACTAGAATATCCAATATGTCACCAAATCTGCTCTACAGTGAAGTGTAGCTCCTTCTGCCACTGAGAATTTAACTGACACCTAGCTACATGATCTTTAGCAATCTAAAACAGTTTAAGGTTATAACTTATTACAACTACGTGTTTATTAGAACACTTGGAACAACGTTAAATGGCTCCTTTTTATGCAGTTACAGAAATGGAACAAGTTCTATTCTAAAATAAATTTACAAACATATTTAAATTCAATATATTTTTGAGAAAGGTTTCTGTAAGTACTTACAAGGGTTACAATTCTTGATGTGTGCCTTTTAAAAACAAGCAAAAAACAAAACTGAAACACCTGTGGGTTATTACAGAGAAGTGTACTAGAAAAAGCAGCAATGTCAGATGTGGGTTCCATTTTCACTGGCTCTAATTTGACCTTCAGTGTCCTCGTGTATGAAATGAAGTGGGTTAGATCAGACCACTGTTCCTTTAGTGCTGTATTTATACCAACAGAGGTGTTCTAGATGACTTTTAGTGATACTCAAACAAGCCACTGAACAATACTAAAACATATGGAGAGACAGTTATTCCCTTTCATTCTCTTCCAGTTCTTGATTATTGTACGAAATCCATCTCAGGCTGGTCATACCCTGTCCTTATCTCCTAACAGCTGCTATTCTCTCTTTTTTTTAGAATATAGAATATTTATTTCACTTCGTTCAAAAATAGTCAAGTAGCCTGATATAAGTAAAGCCAAATACAATGTAGCGACTTAAAAAATCAATACACTGCTGTTTAGTCTTTTAGTGATAGTGTTACCCTTTAAAGATTAGTGCAACAAGCAAAATGTTAGTTTTTAAAGCAGGATCTCAGGTCGGAGCTTTTGGCAGGCAACAGTCCATGGCTAGAATTCAATACCAGTATTTCAATAGTTAATTGATGTTAACTTTACCTTTCTTTGCTGTGAGTAATATACTTTTTATTCATTTATGACACGAGATTTATATCAAATTTCCCTTTCAAATTTAAATAAGTAATAGTACAGGTGGCAAAAGAATGACTGAAGTCTGGGGCTCTGGACCAGATGCCTCCACAACTTGTGAACACAGAGGGAGTTGTGAACTCTGCAGTCCGGTGGAGGGCCTGTGGCAGTTCCTTAGCTGAAGTGGGTACTTCGTCTTATAAACAATGAAGCCTAAATTACTACTCTTGGATTACTATATTATGTCTGACAGTAGAATTTTGCCCATTTTATTTTCTACTAATCTGGAAGGCTGGCATAGAGTAGCCCTGTTTGATTGGAATTCCGCTAGCTTCCTGAACTTAAATCATCTTTTTTGTGTCTTACACTGCCTGTAATGCAGGAAGGCTGATAGAAAAAGCCTGCTTAAGCTGCAGCTGCCAGAATAAAAGGTAACATGCAGATGTGTATTACACTTCTTTCCCCCAAAAAAGAAGAATAAGAACCATATGTTGATTTCTTCCTTGTGAACTTCACTTATCACAGGAAAAGATCATGATTTTGGATCACATTTCCATAGCAGCAATCAGACTACTAAAATTCACAAATAAAGGATCTGCTGGGTGCATGCAGCCAGTAGAAAATTCTGCAAATGTTGAAAAGAGCGGCTCACACAACTTACTTCCGAGCTCTATTTTCATTTTGTTGAAATAAAAAGACAAAACAAAAGAAAAGAAACTGTAAAATATTCTGGAACAAAATAACACAATGTGGTGTTCAGTTGTGCACAGGGGGCTCGATTCACTAGCTGTTATGATTCCACAGGATTTTGACATATTGACTAAAGAGAAACACTATTTCATTAAATTACCATGCTACTTCACTGCTACTATACTTCCCCCACCTGAAAGCACTTAGCTTCCTCCTGAATCCGAGTTCAGAAGGAGGAACACACATAAAGTCATCTTGGCCTCTTGATACTTGATGTTCAAGTAAACAGCAAGAAATATTTTAGCCTAATATGAATATGATATGGTTAATTTCTGAACAATGGTATTATAATTTTTTTGGGGGGAGGGACATCTTTTCCAAATTGGGGCTATTCAGGAGCCTGGCTTTCTGAAAGGCAGGTAATCCAAAACTCCGTGTTATATAAATTATCTATACTAGATTTCTTGGCTCTGAGACAAGTTCATGTTGATTGATGGGTGCATAGTTGAGACAGAAGAATGAGAAACTTTAAAGTTAAAGCTGCTACCAGAAAAAGGGTTAAAAGTCAGAGAAAGAGAACACTTCGTGGCACTAAGTGACAATCCAAAAAGATAGATACATTACTGAAAAAGGGGCACAAGCCTGGAATTTTCAGCATCCATCAAAGACTAGAGAAGGTATGAAGTTTGAAAAAGAGAGAGTTGAGACAGAGGGGGAGTTGGTGGAAGGAGAGAGAGCTGCTAAAAAAGCTTTCAGGACAAATCAGAGTAGGAGAGGCCAGGAGAGTTCTATGAATGAATTTTAAAACTTCAACTAGTAAAGTCTGATTTCACCAATGCTGGCAGATGAGGCTAAGGGTCTCACTGGATCTGAATGGTGGGCAATGAAGGCCTTGCCCTGAGGAATCGAGCCCTGTGTGCTTTCCTTATGACTTCACCCCCCAACTTCCAACACTAAGTTAAAATGAAAGATAATTATGCACAATTAGAATAATCTAGCCAAATCCAGCCCATATAAATAAACTTAGTTGTGCTTTTTCTCAAAGTATGTGTCCCCACCTCAAAGGAAACCCGACAACTCCAAGACTAATTTATAAAACAATTCAGAACATTTTGAGCTGCAAGAGGCTCATCTACTTTAGAACTACACACTACTACAGAATAAACAGAATGAGAAATGTCTGACCTCAAAGTATGTGTCCCCACCTCAAAGGAAACCCGACAACTCCAAGACTAATTTATAAAACAATTCAGAACATTTTGAGCTGCATGAGGCTCATCTACTTTAGAACTACACACTACTACAGAATAAACAGAATGAGAAATGTCTGACAGGCAGAAGGATCACTGGTGGCTCCCTGTATCATTCTATCCAAAAGTGGCCTGCTAAAGGACCCTGTGGAAGCTGTTCCCCAGTGCCTTTAATCAGGTCTTATACACTGCATTTGCCACCTGCTTAGGGGCAGTTTTTAAACTTTGCTTCCCCAAAGATTTTTTTCTAACATTTTCTTATGAAAATTTTGAAACCCACGACAACGTTTAAAGAATTTTACAGTGAACACCCCTAAATTCTCCTCCAAGGTTTTGAGTGAATGCAATTCCCAAAATTCTGATTACAAACTAATGTAAAATTCAAGTATTATTAAATCAATTATAAGCACTATACTCATATAAAGATGTCCAATGTTATGTTAAAATTCAGATCATATGTTAATTTTTTCAAGATTTTGCAGTAGATATAAGCTATACATCCTAGAGCAAACTATATGAATAAATGTTAAATTAAAAAATATGATTTTAAGAAAAATTACTGATTCTCAACAGAAACTGAAAAGACATTTTAATTGATAAATGACTATTCTACTACTAATAATTGATTTTTAATCAAAAGAGGAACTAAAATTTTTCTCAGGATTTCCATTTATGAAATTATTTAAATTGCCAGGTAATATCTTCTGGGAGCAAACATGACAATATTTTCTGTTTTCCCTCCCTCATAAAGAAGAAGCAAGTGTAAGAATCAAAAGCCAAGGATTTAAAAGCAGATGAAAATGAAAAATGGTACTTACTGATGAATAGCTTGCAAGAATTTTCGTTGATGTTTTCTTACTTTTGCATGATCTATCTTTTTTACTAGCTTTGTGTTTTTGTAAATTAGCCATGTTTCCCTGAGTACATTGGCAGCTGCGTTTTTCACCTATTAAGAAAACAAACAAAAGCAGTTGATAAATTTCAGAGCAGAATCCTTTGCAATTTTGCTGGGAGTCATATTCTTCATCCCAACGATCATGGTGGGCTGTAGCTCTATTTAGTAACTATTTCTCAAAAGATGATTTTTCTTGAATGTACCTGTACCTGCCTAAGAACAACACTTAAATAAAAATATTATGGAGGTACTACTGATTTCTGTGCTAAATACTACCCTACTCTATCAGAAAACTTCTTTTTTATTTAACTCTTTTGTTGCTGTTGTTAATTAAGAGGTGCTGATTTTTTTCACCTTGTATTGTAATTGTTCTCTCCAAGTTCTTCATTTCCCTGGAGAAAGGCACAATAAAATGCCAGAAGCCCAAGGTTAATCTTGTACTTTGCAAGCTTGCTCCGTATTTCTAGCTGTGCATTAAAGGAAGGGCATGATTCCATTGCTGAATGTATGAGTACTACTAGGACTTACAGGCTTCCAGAGTGACTTAGCAATTTGTATGCTTGTTAACACACTTTAATTAATTGACAAAGAGTCCGTGTTGTCATGATTTTGTTGCATTTCAAACGGAGAGGGCACATGAAAAGGGTGAAAGCATTACAGTAACACTGTCTAGACCTACTGGAGCTGATGGACGGCATGAACACTTTATCAAATCACTTGCTTTTTTGATTTAAGTCTTCAAAAAATCCTGAAAGCAGGACAGATTTTTGTCCTCTTCCTTGTTCACACGACAACAATATCTGATGACCGAGAGTCTTCACTTGGGCTTGTTGTTAATTACTTATTCTAAAAAGTTGTTCCACTTTTGAGTGATGGAAAAGAATGTTTTACAGAAAGCCACAGGCTAGTGGGGTACTGCGTGGAGAAAGATAATCTTTTAAGAAAGGCAATGTAGTGGGGAAGATAGGACAGTGAGCTGAGATTAAGAACCGGCTTCTAAAATCTTGACTTTGCACTAACTAAATCAGGACAAGGTGACTAGCTAACCTTGTAGGACTTTAGTTTTCTCTAACATGAGAAAGAGAGAATTATTAAAGTCCTCTCAATCCTTAGATTTACAATAATGGAGAGTCTTAGAATTACACTAAAACTGTGGGCCCAAGTTGTATGTTAATATTACAAGTGTTATATTTTTTCACTTCAGCACAGAAAACATCAGGTTTGGTGACTGATGGTGAATACTTTTTCATGGTGCTGAAAAGTTTTCTTTTTGTGCAAAATTGTTTGTTAGAATCCATTTCAAGAAAATGACTTCTTTCTTTCCAGTAAAACTTTTAGGAGCGACTTAGATTCAGAATGCACTTTTCTAGATATCCATTAGAATCTATGCATGGAGAGCATCCTCAAACCAACAGAAAAATGACTGAAACAGAGGCTGAGCATCAGCAGTGCTCATAAGTAACACTACCACCATCCACAGTGCAGTTAAAAGGAACTGGAGTAAGTTGCTGGCTCCATCTTCATGCTTATGGAAACACCTTCCTCAGGTAGCATGACAGTCACCTTTCAGATGCATTTTTCATCTGATCCTCATGCCTTTTTCAAAGTTAAGGAAATGGGTGCAGCATGAGTTGTTGATAGTTGAGGACGTTGCTTTTAAAGAGAGAGGTTGGGATGGCCCTTCCTTGTTAGGAGAGAGAAAGGCTCAGCTGTCTGAGCAGCTGTAGATTCTGGGAAGACTCGTGAGGGCCCCTGATGGAAGCTCCCTCCCTGACTTTACTAGCCCAAGGCACAGAGAAAGAAGCCTGGATCCTAGACTGGTGCATTTCCATTTATGGATTCAATAAAAAATCTATCACATGCTAGATACCATGATAAGGGGCATAAGGAGATTCACAGATACTCCTTAAAAATTTAGTAGCTGTAGTGATCTTAGAGCCAATTAATGGGCTAACACCACTCTGAAATCTAACTGATTTCCTATATTTCAAAAAGTAAGGAAACGGCCTTTGTTAACAGGAATCTCCTCACCTCTCACCACCTCTCCCACATCCCCACCCCCCCAAAAAAGGAAATTAAGAACATTTGCTGTGCCTTACTAATGCTCAACTCTAACCAAAATCTTCTATGAGAAAAATTTTGAAAGGGCATATTAATAATCAGTTTGATAATTATTTGAGAAAACAAATGTTCTAAAAGTACTTACCCAGATGACTTAAAATACTTTTCATAGGTTTAAAGGCCATATAATGTTATATTGCTGACTCACAGTTAATAAAACCATAGGTAGTAAGAGAAAAAATATTTTTAAATAAAATAGCACATTTTAACCCACCAAAGCACTTAAAGCAGATGGAATTTTAACTGAAACTTTGTTCAAACCTGTATGATATAGGCAATGACAGCATTGTCTAAAAGGCTCTTTATATTTTTCCTTTGTTTTCTACTACTTTGAATCTTCATTTCAACTTCTATTTCTTTTTCCTTCTCCTGCCTCTCCCCTCTGAGGCTTTTTTTTTTTTTTTTTAGCGTAATATACTTCCTAAAAAGGTGATCTCAGACTTGCTTCAAAGGAGCTTAATAACCAGAAGAAGCCCCATGTTTCAGGGTATAAACTTCTGAAATAACCTTCCAGAAAAGAGATATTTTCCATAATAAAATACTGAATAGCAAGGCATTCAAGACACCAAATGTGTCTAGGGTTTGCCCACTGCTCCCACCTCCCTCTCCCAGTTCTCCTTTAGAGTGGGGAATGTTGTACCTTGGAACATGGTAAAGCCAAGTGATCCATTTGTCTTGTGTCTAACCCATGGGGCAGGGTAGCCAAGGACAATGTAAAAGCCATGAGGGTTAATCCTCTACAATTTCTGTTCACTTGTTAAGAGACATATAGGAAACGACATATAACTGTATAATAGTGTTTTATGTGTTCTTATTAGGGATCTTATTGAGAATTCTTAACAGGTTTGGAAACACAGTGGACATTAACATGCACAATTATCTTTCCTGGTATATCTAGCAACTTTAAAAATTATGTCTGGGTTCCCAGAATTGCTTATTTTCAAGTTTCTTTCCAAAATGAAGGTATCCTAAAGGACCACAATCTAAGATTTCCTCTTGGTTTCCTGAATTATCAGTAATAATAATATATTTTCAAAAGGACTAGCATGGTAGACACAATGCCTCTGTACAGTGATACACTGAAATATCTATTAAATAGCTGGTCCTGTGTTACTAAGCTAGGTGACAAATTATTGATACTTTGTTTTTATTTTGAAATCATTAGATTATTCTGGGTACATGCACCTGTTGGACATTTTGAATTGTAGAGTGTCATGTAAAGTTTTAGAACTGCAAAGAACAATATTCCTCAATGCTGGTCCAGAATGAATAGTGTGTTCTACTTTCAAATATAATATTTTATTTGGTTAATGTAGTTGTACAGAGAAATGACTTCCATATAAATTTGTTCAATTCAGTAAGGATACATACTCGAAGGCTTGGAAAGTTACATTTGTTCCTGGGAGAATAACCTATCTTTTTTTTTTTTCCTTTTTGTCTTTTTTCATGACCGGCAATGGATCGCAACCCTCAGTGTCGCGCCCGCACCGGACCGGGACCGGCAACGGAATCGCAACCCTCGGTGTTGCGTCCGCACCTCGCTCAGCCAGTGAGCAGGAACCGGTCTGTATGTGGGATCCAAACCCTCGGCGGGAGTGCCACCGCGCTCCCAAGCGGTGCACTGTAGCAGTGCGCCACCGGGCCGGCCCCGAGAATAACCTATCTTTTAACATTCATAGTGCTTTTTCTTTAGAGTCATATTCAGATGTCAGAACATCTGTGACCATCACCCCTGGTAACCATCAGAAAAAATAATTTCTTCTGTTTAGTGTTTCAGGAAATAGTTGTATATTTCTGTAACTTTTCTCAAACAATATATAGCACCCTTGAATTTGTAGTTTTAATCTCCCATCTTAGAAACTGTGTATGGCTTTTAGGACTTGTTTACTCCTGGTTATTCCCAAGAAATCATTCATAAATGATCATTCAGTATTTTAGAATTTTTATTTAAGAAGTTAAAATTATAAATGGGCCCATTTAAAATGGGTCCATTTAGAATTTCCATAAACAACCAAATGAAATCAAGTTCCAAGTAAATGATACTCATTAAGTTGATGACTTTGTATAAAATAACAAAGAGAGGACTATAGAAGGGCTATTATTTTCATGTATTGTGTTGAATATAATAAGGAAATGGGTATCATAAACCAGAAATTTGTTTTATTCTAATGCCATTTTAACATTTATACACTTACTTAGAGACATCTCGCCTGTAAAAATTGATCTGTCAGCAAGTTTGCTGGAATATCTTTCTCAGACCTGTAAGAGACTCTGTTCCTAAGAAAGACTGCGAAGTAGTTCCACTTTTAAAAAGTAGTAATGATATGGAATTAATAAAGCATGATAAGCATAGTGCAGAATGTGAATTTTGAAATTAGTACAGTACTTCTTCCTGAAAAAGCTTTCTACAAGCAATCTGACTCTTTATGCAACATTACTATAGGAAGTTTATCTAAAGTATACAAGAACTTGTAACAACAAAAAAGCTGTAACATCAGAAAACTTGGCCAGTTTGAGGAAATGAATCCCATTTATAAAAACTAAAGAAAGGTCATCTAGATCCACAAATCTAAATTCTCGAACCATAGTCCTCTAAAGGGGCCCTGACTGGGCTTTAGGGGACCCATAAGCAACATGAGCAAGAGCTGACAAGTGCATTCTTCTGCCAAGCAGGAAAAATCAGAGCTTATCTGATTTTCTGGGTGGTCAGTACTATAAAAGCTTAAAAATCTCTGAGTCCTAGAATACGAAATTTCAGCTCTTCATCCTCAGCAGTTAACACAGAACCTCAATCATGTTAGGTACACAGTATATTTTGGTTAAGAAAACACGTAATTCCAAGGAAGAGGGAAATTACAATCAATTCAGTAGACTCAAAGAATATGTTATGGGAAACTGTCTCAGTCTCTTCTCTTTTAAGATGTCACATCCTTGGGACATAACAAGCTAAAGCAGTGGTTCTCAACTGCAGGTGAATTTGCCCCTTTAGGGAAAATTTGGCAATGTCTAGAGAAATTTGTCACAAGTGGGAGGCAGTGCTACTGGCATCTAGTCAGTAGAGGCCAAGTATGCTGATGAGCATCCAAAATGCATAGGACAGTCCCACACAACAAAGACTCATCCAGCCAACAAGGTCACTAGTGCTGAGGTTGCAAGACCCTGGACTACAGTAACTACACTATAAAACCAACCTGGAATGTCTCCTGAATGCAACTAGTTGATCTCTGTGAATCTCAAAAAAATATTCATCAAAGGTGGTAGATAACAATGTGATACTACAGATTTTGTACTCAAAGCCCGATCTTTTCTAACTCTTAAGATGTCTTGATAATTAAGATATGGAATATCAATATTCCAAAGTGACATTTAGAGAAATTATATACTTCCTTCTTAAGATAAAGCTAAAAACCTGCTTATGAAACATAGGAAATCTGTCCAAACATGCTATCTTGGCTTTCTTATTTGTGATCCCATCACAATTTCTTTTTACTGTTGAGAAGATTTACAGGCAAACATATGGGCTATATGGTATTTTAATGCATTTTTCTGCCTAATATCTTAAGTGTGATATTAACATAATTTCTGAGAAGATGTATAATCTTCATGATAAAATTATATGGATTATGCAAGGGACTTTATGGGAACATTCTTTTGATGTTGTAAAACTGTAACTCTTAAACACAAACTATGCAGTACAGAACCCTGAAAGATCGAATAAGCACATGATGAAATATACAAAACATCTGCTACAACTTCTGGATTAGATGCGGACTAGTAACATTATATGTATGGATTTTCATTTCCTAGTAGACCTTTGAAAAGAAAAAGAAACTCAACCCACTGTTCAGCTCCTCATTTACCTCTCTCCCTCCACTCTCCCAATTTAGAAATGTTCATGCATTTTGAGGACAAATTCAGGAGTTGGAAGAAAATAAGAGGAAATCATGGAGAGTAAGAGACCTTCCAAAGTGGTAAACCCAGGCAAAAAATGAGGTATCTGAAACTGAGAGGCTTTGATTGTCTAGTATAAATTTGGACCTACTAACTGCAATAAGATCTCACAATAGTGTCTGGTAGGTAACTCAGAAAGCATTAGCAAGGTAACTGGAATTCATGACTAATCTGTGAGAAAGAATTTACCCTGTTAAACAGGATTACTTTTATACACATAACCAAAATCAAGAGTGAGTGAAAATACTGAAAGTTGGAACTATGCTTGAAATCTCTATTGATTCTTTTCTGGGTGAAGTTACCAAATGACAAGTATTTTGTTATTTCAGTGACAGCCTGACTGGATTCCACTTTGGGCAGTAGTTACACAGCAAGATGACTCTTCTATAATTTGACTTTGGTATTTTGGTGTCTCGAGTGACTATCAAGAGAGGCTAAAAGTTTAGTCTAATAAAAATCTTCTTTCCTCTTACACAACTTTCCACCTTCATCTGATACTTTGAGCAGGTTACCTAACCTCTTTATCTTGGTTTCCACACTGATGCAATGGGCACAATAACAGCACTTCCCTCATGAAGTTATTGTGAGGGTGGAACAAGCTTGGAACATGCCTGGCCCTGAGTGAATGCTCCACAAACACGGTGATCCCTGTTTTCCTCTGCTCCTAATAGGGACAGTGATCTATCTGGATGCTATACCACTTTCAACATCACTTTGATGGCCTTGAAGTCATGAAAAGTGCCTGTCTCTGCCCCTGTCTTGGGCTTCTGAAAGTCAATGATTGTTTCTTATTTGTCTTTGCAACCTCTCTCTTTAGAACTGTGACTTGCTCATAGAAGTTCAATAAAAAAATATTCGTTATCACCTTCTCATAAATGTCTATCGACAGATGACTGGATGAAGAAAATGTGGTATATATGCACAATGGAATAATACTCAGCCACAAAATAGAATGAAATCTGCTATTCAGAGCAACATGGATGAACTTGGAGAAAATTATGTTAAGTGAAATAAGCCAGGCAGGGAAAGAGAAATACCACATGTCCTCACACTCATAATTGGGAGCTAAAAAAGAAACAGAAAAAAGAAACAACAAACACATTGAACTTTCAGAAGGAGAGAACAGAACTGTGGTTATTGGGGAAGGAGGGGTGTTGGGAGAAATTGGTTAGCAGACACAAAGAATTACCTTTTGTAATGATGAATATGCCAACAATCCTGATTTGATCATCACATACTGTACACAAATACTGACAGCCAATTCTGTACACAAATATGTATAATCAATTATGTTTCAATAAAAATAATTCATATTTTACATTGACAGTACATTCCCTCCTACTTACTCCAATATTGCTTTCTTCTTGCATACTGCCCTTAAATGTTAAGTATGCCTATTTTAGATTTATGTGACCTATTTTTATTCTTGAACAAATACCAAGGTTGTCCAATTATTTCCTAACTGACCTAAAATTAGGAATAGTCTACTTTTAAAATGCAACGGTATTTCAAAAAGTTCATTAAAAGATAATATGAATCTTTCCATGAACTCTTTGAAGTACTCTAATACGAAAGAATGGAACTGATTCCAAGAATGCCTCAACTTTCAAACTATGTCATCACAGCTTTGGATGTCAAAGTAAAAACCATATTTCTCAAGACTGAAAAAAGCAATATTCCCTTTGAAGATGGGTGGTGACTTACTCTTTTAGTCAGCTGAGTATCCATCATGAAATTGTGCACATGTTTTTCTGCTTTGGTAAGTTCTAGCTTCCTTGCCACTACAGCTACCACCAGGGCTGTGCAACCAGCACCCTGAAAAGGAGAGAAGAGAACCCCAAAGAGTTACTACTTTCTTTCTTAGCCACATTAGATAATGTTTTGCACCAAATGCATAAATTTCTCAAGACAAAAAGTTGTAGTATTCAGTGTCTTCAATACTATTACAGAAAATAAATGTCAAGTAATATACCTTTAAATTGGGATTATAAAACAATTCATATATTTTAAGAACTATAGCATGATATTTGAATAAAACACATTTCTATGATAAGAAATAAATTGCAAAAAAGTAACAGTGTATTTTCAGAGAGTTCTTAAAAAACAAAGCAAATCATTTATATGCCTATAATTGTAATAGGAACAAATAAGAAATGAACAAATTAGCATAAATGAATGGAATACAAATAAGAATTTTTCTCTAAAGAATAACACTCCATAATCTCCCAAGGTGAAACCAGCAGGCCTTCAGGCCAATCAACTGTAATGTACCAGGAATGAAAGAGATGAATTATCTCAGCATACACACAACCTGACTGTTCCACGTATATAACAGAAAGGATCACAGGAGGAGCACAGTGATGTGAATCTGGACAACAGAGATACATGATGTGCTGAAGGTAAGGAATAACTATTCTACTATTTTAGAGGTTTACTAGTACAAGGAAAGGCCTGGGTCACTTCCTTTTCCAATTATATGCCATTGTGTTGATCTCTTGGAAAAAGAAGTGTAACACTGATATCCCAAAGATTACAGTCCTCCCCCTCTTTGATCAAGGTGTACTTGTTCCAAGTTGTAAGATGTGGGCGTCTTCTTTGCTGAAAGACCAGTGACTACATACATGGGTTGGAGGCCTGTAACTTAAAGCATATCCATAAATATAAAATTTTATTCCTAAAATCTTTAAAGATACAATATAATGTTTAAAAAGGCAAGTTAGAAAATGGTATACACAATATGCACCCTATTTTATTTTTTAAAAAGAATTCACATTAGAGAAGGAAAAAAAAAACTGGGCAGAAATAAGCTCAACTGTGAAAAGAGGTCATCTCTGTAGTTGGAATATTGGTGATTCATTATAGAATCATTTTTACGTTTATTTGAATTAATAGTGTGACTTAGCAATTCAGTAATAGACCAAAGAGTAATTTTGGGGGCTTACTGAATGAGTTGGTGCAACAAATCTGGGAGGAGGGACAAGAGTAAGGAGAAAAGGGGAAAACAAATACACTGTCTTGCCACAGCCTGATAATTATAATCATGAGACACGGCCTTAATGATGAGCTGATATTGTTTAAATATATTTCCAGAGGGTTTGAATATCCTCCTCCATCTAATTCTAGGAAGAAATCAGTATCCTCAGAAATGGAGTGCTACTAATTATATGATCAGAGAAAGAGACTAGAAGGTATTTAAACATTATCTGGTTTAACCCTCTGATTTTAGAGATGAGACAGCTAAAGCAGAGTTATTTTTCAGTTATGAACCTTATTTAACACTGATATATTTCCTACCCTTTACTTCATTTTATAATACCTACATCTGTATTTAGGGTCACATGTGTTCTTATTTGTAGTCATTTTCATATCCATGATGCATTATGTAGCACTGTATTTTAAAACAAATCAAATTCAAATTCATCTTATTTTATATGATAAACTCTTAAAGTGTGAATGTATAAAAATTGAGCAATATGGTTAATTAACTAAATAAGTCAACATTGTTCCTATTTTATAACTGGTGCAACTTATAAATCAGTAGTCCTCAACCTTGACTGTGACCTAGAATCACTTGAAGAATTTGTAAAATAAACAAAAGTCCCAATGCTGAGACCAACCTAGTAATTCCTAATATCAAGAGATAAAGCCCAGGTGTCTGATTTTTTTTTAAAGCTGTCCAGGTGACTCCATCTTAGAGTTTCTTCTTTAGATGAAGAAGGCTATGGGGAGATTATGGCAAATGTCATAAACTACTTTGTATCAGAACAAGAGTTACGGTTCTCATCAGAGTCATCTCACTTACTTATGAAGACCTTTATGAAATAATAAACAAGGAACATAGAAACAGTGGGGGGTGAGAGTTATCCTGATACTTTGTGCCATGTGCAGACAATGAAAGCAAGGTGAATATCAGAACAAGAGTTACGGTTCTCATCAGAGTCATCTCACTTACTTATGAAGACCTTTATGAAATAATAAACAAGGAACATAGAGGCAGTGGGGGGTGAGAGTTATCCTGATACTTTGTGCCATGTGCAGACAATGAAAGCAAGGTGACTTTAGAGCTAGATGCCAATGAAGTAAAAGAACAGCCTTTGGAAGCATCTATACCCATTTTGTTGACTTTCAAACATCTACTACTCTACTACAAAACCTAAATAGTTACAGCAGACCGATGAGGGGCAGACAGAATCAGTGGCCACCCACAATAGCCATCTGAACCTCCCCACTGTAAGGGACAGCATTTGCTCGACAAATGCAGGATCACCTGTTGCAGGTATGCTCCCAGCTACTCCTCAGTCAGTGAATCCTCTGAGATTCAGGGTAGCAAAGGTTCTTTAATAGGCAGAGAATGTAAAAATCTGAGGGGCTCCTAACTGCTAGAAAGAGAGCTATGAGAGAGCGGTTGGCAGAAGAAGTTGAATATTGTTCTCCCCCGGCAGGTGGCCACTGCTGAGATCCTCTGGAAAGAAATCAAAATCCTAACAGGAGTGGAAAATCACTGGTATCAAGAGCCTTTGGAAGTTGGTTTTTATCTGTGTTTATTCTTGGGCTCTATTCTTTGTGTTGCTGGTCCATTTCTCACTGAGTATTCTCTCACTCACCAAGGATGTGTGTACTAAAGTGAGTACTTTTGTTGAAAATTGAGAGCAAGTGAATCTGACAATTTAGTGATGATGGAAACTATCACCTATATACCTTACTCCATTATCCTAACTGTACCCCTTTAAGTTGTACCTCCAGAGCCACTTAGAAACCTCCTTTTGTTCAAATACAAAGCCCTTAACTCCTTACATTTGTCTTATTTTAATTAAGGAATCCATAAACTTATTCCTCCCCAAGTTCTTAACAAAACATAAGAAAATTTGATATGATATAGAATCACGATACCAAAAGGTAAATTTTATTTTTTAGAATTATGCAAAATGAAGCTGGCTCACTTCCGAAAGCTTTCTAGGTTCAAGGTAAATTCCTGCCAATACATCAGTGGTTATAGTAATTTAAGTAATGGCAAAATATTATTGTCCACTCAGTGTCTATTTCCAGGACCATTCTGTTTCCTAAAGTGGATAAGAATGAAAGTAAGTATACTTTTACAACATTTTCTCCAAAGCTTGTCACCACCACGATCCATATGGAAACAGTTGGGATTAACATATGCTACTCTCTGAAATTAAGATCCCTGTATGCCTTTAACATGATGAGTCATACTCCCCTCACCAAAGTCAGAAAATTTTTCTTCCATTTCATTTATGTTCTTAGGGAAAAATCTAAGCAGATCACTAACCTGCCACTTCAAGATGTTTTGACACCTAAAAACAAAGCAAGAAAATGCAATGTGTTTATGAGGCCAAAAGCAAGGTTTAGGTCTCCCTTGGCTGATTTACCACGAGAGAAAAATGAATTGAAGAGGAAGGGGGAGAGGTAGCAAGACCCTGCCTTAGAAAAGATGAAGTAATGACAAGCATCGTTAAAGCACAGTACCCTAAACCAGATCAGACTGAAAAAATGACAACCAGACAGCATAAACTATAGTTAAATCCCAACACCTGGAGAGTCTCAGCAGAAGCCAAATTAAAACGTAGTGCTTTTCTCCACTGTATCCTTCTCCATTATAGCACAGAAATTGTGAGCTATGTGGATCACTAGAATGTAAAAGAAGTTCAGGTAGCCCAATTTCCCAAGACCATTTATCACGTTATGTTTGAAAACTTCAAAGGAGTGACATTTTTTACTGTAAATCACCTGGTTATGTTGATCCTGCAAGTACATCCAAGAATCATTTTGAAAGCCCACTTTGGAAGCTTTAATAACTTAAGGATATAAGCCTATGGAAAAGGGAAATTCCTTCAATAGCACACTGGGGAAAGGCTTTCTTTCCTTACTGAAAAAGGCAACTTCCAAAGATTCAACATAACAATGAAATCTATAATTTTCTTTTTGGAAATTCCAGAATCCTCAGCACCATGGAAAATGGCTCTCATAAAATCCACTAATGTTCAAACTAATCCAGTGTTAAATTATCCTCCTGTAGGTTTTATAATAGCTCCTAAAAGTTCAAACTTCAATTTGATAGCCAATTTATTAAATAGACTATTTGTTAGACTGTAATTAAAATTTATTAGAATATAGTTAATTAGGAAAAAAATGCTTTTTACTTAAAAATTAATAAAACAGCTTTAAGATTAACTTTCACTTAAAAATATCAGCTTGTCCTCCCAAAGGAATGAATATCTGAAAACATCACCTATTATTCTGTCCCTGGGGATGACTGACTCAATATCCTAGAACCATAAATCAATTTTTACTGCACTTGTCTGCATAAATAATTATTCTTTCATAAAAATATGTAAAAAATCAATTCTAGAAAATAAAATTCTATAAAACATTCAGCTTTAATATTATATCCCGTTGGAGTTTTGCAGGGTTTTCTCAGGTTATGAAAATAAATAGCATTCAAGGAAGTTTTGAAGACAAATTCCCTCTAATGAAAATGCCGTACCTCTGAGTTTCTTCAAATACAAGCTGATATTTGCTGCTGGAGGGTAGGGGTCAATTTCATATGGCCTCATCCTAAGGAAGAGGGGAGGAAGGGTGTCGTGTTTGAGTTCAGTGATGAAGCCTGGGCCTGGGAAACCCAAGTCTCCTTTATAGTGATTTGCTTGTTCAACTCATTCTTGTACTCTGGGGGTTGGAAAGAAGTCAGTACTGCAGAAGGCTGGTCATCAACAATGAGTTTTCTCTGAGTTTAAAGCTCCTTATCAGCCACAGTGCCAGTGTGAATGCCCATACCCTAGAGATAGGAAGGGCAGCTC